CTCAAATTCGGCTAATAAGGAAAACAAATTAAATAAAAAGGGTCATTCTGACCTAATGTTGACTTTATACAAAACAACATCAAACACACAAACATGTCTTATTTTCTCTTCATAGTTTTGTTTCTTCATTTCTTATTTTTTCATCATAAAGCCTGGTTTGATGCAGGACTGGTTGAGCGTCAGCGCTCATGAATGCGGTTGAATAAAAGTCAAATCAGTGTAAATTACAGCATGTTCTCAGTCTGACCTCACCAACCCAAACCTGTAACCCGATGGGAACGCTGTGGAGAAATCAATCAGCGCTTCATGAAGGGTCAGGGGTGAGAATCCTCAGCTCCAATAAATCCAGAAATCATAAAACAACGGCACTGTATCTGGGGCGGACTGTAAATTCAATATTGCGTTAACGCCTGCGGCGGCTGTAAATCCATGCGTTACAGCAGGAACATCAACAACATCCTCACACTCTCCAGTCACAGACGCTGATTCCAGCAGAACTGCAGCGGATGAAATAACATTAGTCCAGGTTATTCATCGTCACGCAGGAGGATCAGCTACAGATTCTCACAAAACCAGCGCTCCACCAAAACATCATGAATGTGAATTATTAGACAGCGCTTCTCAACATTTATGACTCCAACGTCTCACATTATCCACAAAAACATTCACACTTTTATACTCAAAAACTTTTTTTTAATTTACAGAATTAGGAGTGTCCATGCATTAATATGGATTCCAATAAGATTAAAATGAGTCCATAGCAGGACTGTTTTATAGTTAACTAAAATCATTAAAACAAAACAAAAAAAACAAAACAAAAACAACTTTTCCTGCTTGACATAAAAGTTAACTTAAATTAAATGAAAAATATATGTTTCAGCTAGTTGCCAAGGCAACATTTCATTTTCCTTTAGTTTAACTTGTACTATAATAACTAAAATAAAAATTAATAAAAACTGGTAAAAAAAAAATATATATATATATATATATATATATATACTGTATATATGGGAAA